GATCTAGTTTTATTTTACTAACAATTACAGTATCTAAAAGACAATGATCGAAACATTTTGATTCACAATATTTATTCCCCTTCTGGAATTGATCAGGTAATTTGGTGTGGTCCTACGCTGTATCAAGAGTAAAGTATTTCGTAAGAAACATATCGAATTCGATTGTTAATTATACAATCAACTCTTTATATGCACCCTCTGTAAACGCAAGTGCACGCTTTTGCTCAGCCCCGAAATTTACACGTTCTCTGGTTGTTTACACTCTATAAATGCACATCCTCCCTTATCTCCTCATCTTTTTTCTGTTGAAATTAATAAATGAAAAAATAAGTTCTTCCTTTCTTTTTTTGTTTAGTGAATTGAAAAATAAAATCACGTGATATTTAATTATCACGTTAAATTTCTTGTTATTGTGAACAATGACCTTTTTTTTTACAGCTTGCCTACTCTTTTAAACTAAAATAAAAAACAATGACCTTTTTTATTTTATTCAACTGGTGACTATGTCTCCATATTTTTTTTTTACACATGGTTCTAAGGAGGTACAATTATAGAGAGATGACTTTGATCAAAATTTCTCTAGGCTATTATCTCAAAAAATATCTATTATTATTAAAATTACATTTTTACGTTCTTGGAATAAACATGTCTCCTATTAAAAGAAAAAAGAATTAAAATTCAATCAATTATTTCTATGAGAATATTGAAAATACTAAGTGAATTTATATCGTTTTGCGATAATCACTTACTGATAAAATTATTACATAATATATTATTACGTTCTTGCTTAATATGCTTCATATTTCTCGGTAAAGATGGGCTAAACAGCTTTGAACTTTGACTTAAACTTTATTAGCATAAGATATAAACTCACAAATTAAGTACAAACTAATCTCAGAAAATACAAAGTGAAAAAAAAGTAATAGAAACATTTAAAATACTACATTACACCTTTATCTATTCCTGTATGCCCCGACTTATTTAAAATACAGAGGAAGAAGTATATTTTCTCCGTAAAAATTGCTACGAAAATTTATTACTTGATGTATAGATTATCATTAACCAATCCAAATTCGTTAAAGCTGTCCCCAATCAGGGTAAATAAAACGTCAGCACCATATGCTTATAAAAAAATTATAAAGTATTTGATATATTAATAAACCAAATTTCTAATATAAATAAAATTTGATATAAGCTTTTTTTAGAGTTTTTTAGATACTATTAAAAAATTTAATAGAAAATGTGGTTAAAATACAATAATCAGGTAGTATAAATTGTGGTATATAATGGTATTATAAAACATATATTGGTATTTTTTACAAATATTGCTATAATAAAAGTAAAATATACCATTTTATCTTTTTCTTTTTAAATGATTGATTAGCCTAAAGGAGCTATTAAAAAGAAAAAAAAAAATAAAAGATGATTTTGCTGTTTTGCATTATAAGTCTATTTCAGCTTACAGTTGTATTTGTCCCTCTTAAATTTTTGTAATTTATACATATTTATTTATATATATATAAATATGCATTTTAGTACACAGTCAGAACTCGATATAATGAACCCTCCCTTCAAGCTATTTTGAGTCATATCGAATATTCGATAAATCAAATACCGATTTATATATTAAAAAGTATAAAAATCGGTATATCTGAAAAATATATCACTTAGAATGTGTTTATAATATCAATAGTTCAATACAATGTTAGCTTGTAAATAAATACACCGAAATTGAGACTCAAAGATATCAGGTGGTCTGCTGCGTCGAATAAGGATGGTATCGAATAAGTAAGTATGAAGACTAGTTTATGATTAACTTCGTTATATGTAATATCGCGAAATTTATAATAAATTAATTATAGATGGTTTGAGTTTGTTCGTTATGACCAAAACCCGAATCGTTATATCGAGTTATGACTGTCATCACATCCGTGCTTTTCCAAAAGGTTACATAATCATAAATGATAAATATATATCTGAGTGCTAGAAAAAGACCAGATTGATAAGAACAAATTTTTTGGCATAGTGATCAATCGATGCCAATTTGAATACTTGATTCATTATTTTTTAAAAAAAAATTTAGTACTCACCCAAGTGCGTTGAATTTTAAACAATCACGTGTTATTAATCAATACTGTTTTAGTAAATTGATTGATAAAGCTCTGCTATTTTTTTTTTAACAATTCGGCATTTCCAAGTTTGCCGAATCCGAATCGTCGAGTTGCCGAATTGCCGAATTGCTAAATTGTAATTTGATGATTTGTAATAACTTTTTTTTAGAAGTATTGATTAATAATAAATTATCCAGGATTAAATGCATGTAATAATTATAAAATATAATCTTATAATTTGAATTCGGCAATTCGGTAATTCATTTCGCGGTGTAATCTCAATGCCTGTTAAATTTCAGTCGGTTGCATTTTTCGGTTATATGCATTCTATTGGTGAAACACCGAAAAAACCAAAAAATATATTTCACATGTTACACAAAATAAACCGACCGAAAAATGCAACTGACCGGAAATTGAACTGGGCTATCACTACTATTTAAACGAATAATCAAACAATATCATTATAAAGCCGTATTGGGTAATAACGATCAGCCCTTCGACAATTATAGAATTATGATTAACGAATTCTTATATCATTAATTTTATTACTAAGATTGAATATGGAATAATCGCGTATCGGAAAAATCTCGGAGCGAAAATAACTTGGAAAGAAAACAAAGAGGTCGGAAAAATTTCGGAACGAAGAGGAAAAATGGATAACTTTTAATAATTTCGTATCACTCAAAATTCATTAACATCGGTCCGAAATTATACCGATGAATGATGCAAAACGTGTAAACATACTATTTATTTTTCGCACATTGCTTATCAACGTTGAAGAATATAAGTAGGATAGATTTTTCGCTGTTAGATTTCCCAATAAGATACTTTTTTTTGAAAATTTTTATTTCTTTTCTCTTGATTTTTGTCTTTTTTATTAATAATAAACAATGGTCCAAATTGAAATCTCAAAAGATTTTGGATATGTAAGCATTGATTCAACCTATAATGTTATTTATTTTCAAATATTTTTTTGTTAAAAAAATTTCTTTTTTATTAGGTCGTTTCTACCGGGTTTGCATCGGTAATTTTGGTAACTTATCTTGGATTTAAAGTAGGACAAGCACGAAGACTTGCTGGATATCCCTATCCTTATGGTAAAATATTAGAAATATCTGATTTATGTACTAAACGTAAATATATTAATGATTGTTTTTTTAGTTTATGCAACAAAAGAAGAATGTGAGAAAGATCAAAAGAAGTTGCTCTTTAATTGTTATCAAAGAGTTCATCAGGTAATTGAAATTATTATTAAGCATATTAGGTAAATTATTTTAGACTGCTAAATTTTATTTATTTATATTTTTGATATAGAATACTTTGGAATTCTATCCTGCATTTCTTTTCACGTATGTATAAATATTATCATTATATTTCGTTAAATTTCCTTATAAATGATTGGTTAAATAATATCAATATTTAGACTTGTTGCTGGTGGAATTAAACATCCAATCCTTTCTTCTGTTGCCGGTGGAATTTGGATATTAGGTAAAACATAAAATTTTCTTATATCTCTTTTTTTTTACTCAAAATTTTTACTTACTTTTTTACTGACTTAATATAGGTCGAATATTTTTTGCTTCGGGTTATTATACTGGTGAACCAAAGAAAAGAACAAGAGGTTTCTTTGGGTATATCGGTTCATTGATTTTATTCGGTACTACAATTTCTAGTGCCATTTCTTTATTGAGCAGTTAAATCAAGCTTTAGTTAATTTGAATTTTTAATTGAATTATTATCTATATTTATAAATATATATATATGTATTTTCAAATTTCAATAAATTTTATGGCGTAACTTGCATTATTATTTTCCAATTTTGGTATTTAAAACTTGTTAGTTAACACAGAACGAATTATCTATCGACCAAAGTATCCTACAAATATTTGATTAATCTGTATATCCGAAATCCAACAAATTTGACGCAAAAATTTTATAAATTTTTAAAATTATTAATGCCAATTATAATTACATATGAATATAATTAAATGCAAATTTTATTAAATTTTTTTTTTACAATGTAAATTAATTATTAATGTTTTATATTTTACTAGAATACTAAATATTATTGCAAAATATCTAAATATTATTGCCAAAAATATCTAAAGTTTAAATATTATTGCCAAAATTATCTAAAGTTTAAATATTATTGCCAAAATTATTAATATTTAATATTATTGCAAAAATATCTAAAAGTTTACACATTAAAGAAATATAATACAGTTTTTTTTTTTTTAATTTTAATTGTTTTAAAAAATGTCTGTAATGTCTGTTCTATTAATAGTCTTTTTTTAATCTAAGTCTAAATCCATATCATCAGATTCAGATTCTGGTATGTGAATTGTTATTGGTAAGTTAAATGGCGCAACTTGCTGTTCTTGTTGTTCATCATGTGGCGCTGTGGGCATTTTAAGCATACTACTTTGAACAATTGCGGGAGAACGACACGTTGGACAATGAAAGTTTAACGGATGTGGAATTGAATTAAAATCACCTGGCGAATATCCTTCAACTAGTAAGGATGTTCTTAAACACGAAGCGTGAAATCTATGATGACATTGTGGCAATGTAATTACGGGTGTTTGTGCATTGTTTTCTGTTTCTTCACAGCAACCAACACTCGCCAAGTTACATGTTGGTTGTGAATCATGTGAATGTGAATTTGGTTGTGCTACATTTGTCGTCTCAGGAGGAGTTGGAGATGCAGTTGTTGTTGAATCATTATCATTTTTTTGTTCTGCTTCTTCTTCAATTTCTTTTCTGCATAAAGGACACGAATTATTTTGTCTTAACCATTGGAAAAGACATGACTCGCAGAAAATGTGATTACATGGCATTTGACGTACGGTCACTTTTTCCTTATTTTCTTCAGGGAGTGAAAAATGTTCTAAACAAATTGGACAGCTTGCTTGCGAATCCACATATTCTTTGGTTATAGTAATAATCGGTAATTTCTTAAGAGCAGATTCTGAAGCACGTGGTTTGTGAACTTGTTGTTGTGGGAAGAAGAAAGGTGTGAAGAAAAATACACCTGGAGAAGCCTGACCATCACCCCCTGGAATCGGATATACGAAAAATTGAACTTGAGGAATTTGTTCTTGTTCTTGTTGACCTTCTTGACCTTCTTGACCCTGTTGACCTCCTTGGCCTCCTTGAGAACCATTATCCTGTGAATTATTTTCGCCAGAAGACCGTGCTCGTTCTCTAAAAATGATATTTATCGGAAAGAATAATCCGGGAAATCCACCACTATTTTGATTTGGTGGTGGTGGTGTTTGATTTTGAGTTCTTGATTGCTGCGATTGATTTACGTTTGTATTTTGTCCTGTTTGATTGTTTTGTTGTCCTTCCATTTTTTTAAAAAATAAAATATAAAATGTGTGTAGAAGAAAAGTATTTTTTATTTTTAAAAAAATGTAGCCGGCGACTATTTATATAAAAATGAATATTTGTAATTATATTATTGGCATGGAACTTACGAGAAATTACCAGTTAGGTATGGTCGGTCATCTGATATATAATTGGCGATATTAATGTGTAAACAAAATCATCATTTTTCCTTTTTAAGAAATACCGGCTGTATGTGACGCAATTTTAACCGATGATTCCAGAAATTACTTGTAGTTATTTTAATTATTTATGTTATTTATGAGGTAATAATAACATAACATAAAGGGCTGAGAATAATACATTTGTATTACACAAGGAAATAAGCAGTAGAAAAAAAAAATATTAAATGACTTTTGTTATCATCTATTCTAACCTATTTTTATATAGGGAAAAATATTACATTGGATAACAATCGATTGTCGATATATTCCGTCATTAATTATTATATATAGATAGATATTAACTGGGTATAGCCAGTATAAAGTCAAGTTATATCACGTGAATGTATTTTAAAAAACTGCTGACTAAAATTTTTACGGTTAATCGGTTAATATTTTCGTTCGTAAAAAACCGTAACCTATTACCGTATATAGATTTATTCGCTGTTATATATCATGCCAAAACTTTAATGCCGAAAGTGAGTTGCGATGCTATGCTGCCATTAGTGCCATAGCCGAAATGCCAGTAGTGTGGGACATTAATAATAACTTACATATTAAAACATATTAATGAGAAGAGATTATTAATCTGGTTTCTTATACAGCATATCTCATCTACATTTTCCGACCTGAAGATTATTAATTGGTTTCTCATATGATCGAATAAATTCTTTTTTTCTAATGCATATATTGGATCTACATACATTCCACCTCTCCTTTCTTTTATTATTTGGCAGTCCAACTACAATAACATTCATGTAAACCCACATATGAATAATACTCCACTAGACTTTATCATGTTGTGATATGTTAATAACCGGTGAGGAAGAAGAAAAATAATAGTGAACATCCGCCTTTGAATGACTCATATTTATATATTTTCTGACAATTTTTCAAGTATTGGATTGAAAGAAATTCTTGGAAAAATATGGAACGATCTAGATTAAATTATCCGCAGTTCCGTACCACCTAAAAAATACTGAACCATTAAAGATTAACGTTATGTCGTGACAAGTTTACAGCCATTTGCCCATATTGTTCCTTAGTTTACACAATTTATTTCATAAGATTTTTTTAGTATCGTTAAGCTTTCGTAAAGCCGTTTCGCTTAAACGATAAAGGAAGCACTAATATGACTATCGCTCTTCACGAAATCCTTAAAATACGTATGTTTTTTAACTCTATTTTTTTTGTGGAAAAAGTGATTTTTTGACATCAAACTTTTTATTTAAGGTATCCTCGATGCTATAAGATCTGTTCAACCTCCTGGAGGCTGGAAGGTTGTGGTGGTAGATGAAGCATCATTAAAGATCATAGAGTCTGCTTGTAAGATGTTTGACATTCTCGAAGAGAAAGTAACTTGTAAGTCGCAACCGATTCACTTATATTCCAAATAAAAAAATTTTGATTAACAAACAAATGAAATCTTTTGTTCTTTATAAAGTGGTAGAAAATCTTGAAAAACCCCGTCAAGCTTATCAATCACTTGATGCTGTCTATATAATTACTCCAACTTACGAATCTATCAATAAAGTGATCGAAGATCGTAAAAACGGACCGTTATACGCTGGTGTTCATTTATTTTTTACGTCAAGTAAGGAAATTTAGTTTCTTAGGTGATCTATTTTTCATTTTCGAATATTAACTTAATTAAATATCTCAGGACCCGATGATCGATTACTTCACATGGTAGACAGCTCATTACCGAAAGAATATATGAGACAACGTCATGATCTCTTTATCGAGTTTCATGGTATGTTATAAATTTATCATTTACTTTTAATATATTATATACTATAGTTCGAATATGGTTAAATTAATGTATTGTTTAATTTTATAGCTAAGGAAGCACATGTTTATTCATTCGAATCACCTTCAAGTTTTTTCAAATTATATTCACCTGCGGATACAGAATTTGATAATGAATTAAGGATAATTGCTAAAAAAGTAATTATAAGCATAAATTATGATTAATTATATAATTTATACTAAAATTTATTTTGTTATCTAATAGCTTCTTTCTGTATGTATTTCCATGGGCGAAAATCCATTGATTCGTTATCAAAGATCTCTCGATTCTGATCATGCTACAAAAGCTCTACCTTATAAATTGGCAATGTTAGTTCAAAATGAATTGGATTCTTATGTCAGGCTAAACCCAGGATTTCCCGTAAATATAATTTGATATTTGGTCTTATCAATTCATTATATACATGATCTTTTTTTTTTTTAAAAAAAAAAAAAAAAATTTATTTATAGCCACAAGATTCTCCACGTCCACGTGGTATTTTATTTATTGTGGACAGGACTATTGATATGTATGCTCCATTTTTACACGAATTTACCTATCAAGCAATGGCTAATGATCTTTTGCCAATTGAAAATGGTCATAAGTATGAGTATAACTATACTGGTGAAGATGGTACTCAAGCAACAAAAGAAGCTATACTTGATGAATCTGATAAAATTTGGGTTGAAATTCGACATAAACATATGAAGGATTGTATTGATAAGCTTATGAAAGATTTTAATGAGTTTTTAACCGACAATCAGGGGTTCGCTGAAAAGTAGGTTTTTTTTAGGAAATTATTTTCTTATTCTTTTTTTTTTTTCCTTTCTCTAAACAACTTCACCATCTCAGAGATAAAGCTGTTAATTTGAATGATATGAAAAAAATGTTGGCAACCTTACCACAGTTTCAAAATATGAAAGAAAAGTTTTCCGTACATTTAAATATTGCACAAGAATGTATGTCTTTGTTTGAGAGAGAAAGACTTGCAGAAACAGCAACAATGGAACAGGTGAATAATATTAACAAAATTAAAAGTGTAAGGTATTATTTATACTAATCAATTTTTGGGGAATAGAATTGCGCTACAGGACATACAGCCGATGGTGCACACCCAAAAACCTTGGTTGAAGATATGGTCCCACTATTAGATAATCCTGTTGTGAGGTAATTTTACTCTTATCTTTTAATGAAATTATTCTCTTTTAACGGGATCTGTAACTTATTAACCATTCTTTAATATTATAACAGTTCGTTAAATAAGACTAGAATGCTTATGTTATATATTATGTATAAGAATGGTATTCTTGAAGAGGATAGACGTAAATTGCTTGCTCATGCAAGAATTACATTAGAGGAGAATGATGCTTTGAATAATTTGACGTTATTTGGAATCAAATTGCTTAGAGTGTGTATTATTTTTTTTTTTTTATTAATTATTTGAAAGTATTATTTAATAAGTAATTGATTATTAATTAATTATTATTAGGCTTCAAAGAACATTAAAAAGAATAAGAAATATCGACAAAAACCAAGTGATGATATTCAATATGAAATTTCCCGTTATATTCCAAGACTAAAGCTCGTTATAGAGGTAAAAATTATAAATTAAAATTATTGTCATTTTTAATCTTTTTTTTATTTATTTTTATTGATTCAAGATATTTTCATCCTTTGTTAGAGTCATATTAATGGCCAAATAGATCACACTGCGTATCCATATACAAAAGATCCAACAGGAGATCCTGATGGTTCAAAAGGAACACAACAAGGTCCTGTATCTTTAAGAAGCGCAAGAGCTGGATGGTATAAAAAAGGCCAGGCGGTAAATATAACATATAATAGTTTATATTATCACTATATACAGTTTTCAATATTAAAAATTATTAATTCTCTAGGTTGAAAATCGAGTAGGAAGGATAATAGTTTTCGTTGCTGGTGGAGTTACATATTCTGAACTTCGTAGCGCTTACGAGATTAGTGAAAATGAAAAATTGAAAAAAGATGTCGTTATTGGTGAGTAATTAATTATTCATTAATTTATTTTTTTACAATATATAATATTAACAAATTGTCATTATAGGATCGACACATATCATTACACCTCAACAATTTGTTGATGATTTGAAAGTTCTTCGAACGAGAGGATACGCGCAACCTCCAGTGCAGCCTCAATTTCAACAACCTCAATTGCAACAACCTCAATTGCAATCTACCCCACCACAATTACCACCTCGTCAAGGATTACCACCAAAACCGGATAATGCACCAAATTATTATATTCAACCGCAACCGCAATCGCAGCAACAACAACAAAATAGATATTACCCAGGTGGACCGGGTGGATACGGACAACAACAATCAACTCCTCCACTTCCACCTCCACAACAAGGATATTCTAGTGGTGGATATGGTGGATATCAACAAGGATATTCACCTTCTGGATATCCCCAAGGACAACCAAGCTATCAAACACAAGCTCAAACTCCATATGGCTATGGAATACCACCAAATCAACCAAATCAACAATATGCTAATCTTCAAAAACCATCTTCGGCTGGTTCATCATCATCAACAAGTTCATCAAAACCTAAATCTAAACTTTTTGAAAAGTTTGGTAAATATTAAGCTAATTTTATTTTAATCATTATTATTATACATTTGTAGTTTTAATTTTATAGACAGATTTCATTAATATAAACAGAATTAAATAATTAATACTAGGGTACTGTAGTTATTACAAATTTTTATTTTTGAATAATATATTTATTTAGTATTCTTTATCTAAATATAGACTTTTTATTGTTAGTAAAATAAAAAAAAAAAAAAAAATAGCTATAATAAATTAAATAAAATTTATATATTCTAAAAATACTTTTTTAAATATTAAGTAGTTATGTATTTTCTATATATTTTTTTTTTAACCTAAACATTAACTTAATTTAAAACCACCAATCCAAAAGAATAGAAAAACAAAAACCAAACTGAGAGCGGAAGGTAATAAATTAAGTTGAAGAACAAAATAAATCCATAAAGTTGAAATAGGGGGACATTTACGCATTACACCAGAATAAGGACTTTTATTAAAAATATAAATCATGTAAGATCCAGATGCTATAGAACCTAAAAACATAAATGCTTGCATCCATGTTTTATTTACGTTTTTATTTGTATAATAAACAAAAAACCATAAAACTAAAAAGATAAATAAATTCATTAATTTATTAGTAAAAAAAAATATCAATTTCTAGTTAAAAAATATCGTAATATTTTAACGACGGGACTTACTTGGAGCCATTTTCAATACTCTAACAGAAAATGGTAAAAAGGAAACATCCTCATTATACTGTCTATGTACTAAAATATCCATTACAGAATAAACAGAACAAAGTGGTATAGTGTAAATAAAAGCTTTAAATATTGGACCATGAGCAAAAGGATCATCAGCCTCTTCTGCTACAGAACTTCGCTCTTGACGTTCTGTTTCTACTTGATTAAGTGTTTTAAATATACCAGACTCTTTTATTAAACGCATTTTTTCATCGTCTGGTATATCATCAATTTCTGGCGAATATGATGATGATGATTTATTAAAACGGTTTGTCGGGTTACTCATTGTTATAAAGTTAGATTTGGTTCGATTTTTAAGTTTTAATTGTTGTAAAGAGAAAGAAAGGTGGTTTCTTTACAGAAAATTGGTGGTTTAATTATACTTTTTGGTGTGATCGGCATATTGCATTTATACTTTAGAGTTGAACCTATCAAAATTAAATTATTAATTGCAATACACACTAAAAATCGACCACTAACAATTAACCACTTTTCAAAAGATTGCGCATATACAGTACAATTATTATATTAAAAATTAATTGTTTAAAAAAAAATAATTGTATATAAAATTATTAAATTATAAATTATTATTAAATAAATTTTCAAAATATGAACAAACTGATAGTTTTTTTTTTTTCAATGTTTCAATTTTGGGTGGATATATGGAATTTTGATAATAAATATTATTAAAAAAAATGGTTAGCTATTGAACGTCAAATCACGTTTATAAGCATGCAAAGAATATGATTGGCACATTAAAAATAATTGGCAGAGCGTGATCATTTATATGTTATACTTTATTTTTATTAATATGATGATAACAAGCATTAGTAAAAATAATAATAATAATAATAATAATTATTTAATTAATTTTAAAATATAATCCCTTTAAAGTAAATAAATCATTATGTAATTCTTCAATAGAAATTATCATACTTGTATTCTTATAAATCGCATAAAGTATACATGTAGTGCATGAGATCATTATAATAGACATGCATACTAACATCGTATTCCTATCCATTTTGAATATATTATAATTTTTTTTTTTCAAATAAAAGGTATTGGGTTAACCTCTCTCTTTAAAGTTTCTGTATAAAATTATTTACTTAAAATTAAATTAATTAAAAATTAAAAAACAGAAATACTTCAAAAACATACCAAAAAATTTTTGGTAACGTGACAACGAATTTTATTTTTTTTTTTTGATAATTTGATAATCTAATTAATAATTGAATAATTGTAATTTATGTGATATAGAAAAGTCTTTTTCAAAATTTGATAATTTGATAATATCTTAACCATTTTTTTTCAAGCGCTTATATATAAAAATATAAGGAAATTTTAATGAAATTTCAACTGAAAAAAAATTCATTATTTATTATTTATTACAAAAATGGGTTCATAGTAATTTTATTTAATATATCATTAAACCTATTGGTTGATCGGCATATAAGATCTATAAAGTTTTATATCGCTTATACAGTAAGTGAAAATTAATTATTTTTTTTTGTAGAATTACGAGATAACAAAAGTTTTTAATATATTCATTAAAAAAAATTAGTTTTATTTATTAACTATTATATATTATATCTCACACACACTACATAATACTGGTCGAAGTGGTATGGTTTTCACTAAACCTTGGTGTACGTGATTGAAACTTGTCCAATTTGCATAATATTTCCATATCATTTTCACAAAAACTGGAAACTTCATTAAAATCTGACGTATACCTTGGAAATTGAACAAGTTTCCACCAAATTTAATAGTATAAACTTCGTGTAAACCATATCTCTTTGACCTGCGTAATATAATAAAGTAATATACTAATTTTGTAATGATGCTAATAAGTTTCTCAAAATTTTTTAATGTTTTAGTTTGCAAGTTCTGAAGTTGCTTATTTAATGATGGAACTAAGTTAAATTTATTTTTAAAAATACAAAATTTTTATTATTTTTAAGATACAAAAATTAAAATAAAAAATCCGACATTTTTCATATGGACCGATCTACGTTATTAATAAAATTTAAAAACAGAAAAATACTATTCACCAAAAAATTTCGGTAATGTGACCTAACAAATTTTATTAGAATTTTTATCTTAGTAAAAATTTCGCAAAAAAATATCGTATAATAATAAGTTGTAATTTTAGAAATCCTGCAGTAATTTAATAATTGTAATAAAAAGATAATTTATAATGTGTTACATAGAAAAGTCTTCTTCAAAACTTAAAGAATAATATACATTTCAAAGCAAAAATACTAAAATATTAAGCGAAAAAAAAGAAATAAGTATAAAAAAATTTAAAAAATTTTGTGTCAGAAATAAAATAAGTAATTTTTTTTTATCTAAGGACAATTTATTACAATTAATTACGGTACTAACTATTAATAAAATATTTATTAGTATGATGATAACGGATAACAAGACATTGGTAAAAAAAAAATAATTACTTAATTAACTTCAGTGTTAAAGTTAATGCATACTAAATCATTTAAAATAGGTGAATTCCAGTTAATAGAATTTTTATATCTGGCATTTTTATAAATCGCACATAATGTCACTATAGCATTTATTATGTATAGAATCATTATTGTTATAGCGAATATAATGCATACGATCATCGTATTATTATCCATTTTAAGTATAAATTATGATAATGAAATTAATGATAATACAAAATTACAATGGAAGAAAATAAAATAATTAGTTATCGATATTTATATTTATTTTTAAAAAATATTTAAAAAATATTTGATTTTTTGGAGATTTTTTTAAAAATTTCATGCGTAATTCATTTTACAAAAATGACAATAATAGTTAATAAATAAAAAATAATTTTTTTTTTTTTTTGACAAATGAATTTTTAAAAACTTAGACTTTGAATTCATCTTTTATGAGATATATTTCGTATTGCTACAAAAAAAAACTTTCAAGTTTCAACTACTTTACCTATTTTACCGGTTAATACTTTATTTTTTAAAAATTTTTTACTTTTTGGGTATATCTGGTGTACAGTATATATCCTCGCTTTTCCATGTACTCTACTTCTTCCAGTTTTATTAAATTCTTTTGACTTGACAGAAATATTATTATATATAACCAATGATTATATTTATAATAGTTCAGGCCTAGACTTAAACTTAATTTTTTTTTGTAGTAATAATAGAGATAACAAATTCTTTAATATATTTATTTGTCAAAATCAAAAAAATTTAATTTTATTTATTGACTACTATATTTCACACACACACGATATAATAAAGTAATAGTACCTTTTGTAATGCTAATAAGGTTCTCAAAATTTTTAATGTTTAGTTTGCAAGTTCTGAAGTTGCTTATTTAATGATGGAGCTAAATTAAATTTATTTTTAAAACAAAATTTAATTTATTTTAAAATGCAAAATTAAATTTATTTTTAAAATACAAAATTAATAAAACCGTATAGTTTTTTGGCCTAAATTTTAATTAAAAAGGTTTAAATTAAAATTATAATGTGGCTAAAGTTAGTTTTTAGTCGGTAGATTTAGTTAGTTTATTTTCGTTTATTGTAAAATTTTTGATATGTATTATGTTATTTTTGTGTGTTTTATTTTTGTGAAAAGTTATGGGTTAGTTACTTTATTAGCGGATGTATAGCGTCTAAATTGTGATAGGTTGTTTTATATAATTATCACAATATTAATAAAGATTAATTATTAAAAAAAAAAAAAACGTATCGTTTAGATTACGTTTAGACTTTAGATTACTTCTATATAATTGTGTACACATGATAACGATTTTATTATTATTATTATTATTTTATTATTATTTAATAATATAAAAAAAAAAAATTTTTTTTTTTTATACATACGATACGAAGGAATAAAATTTTTTTAATTATAGAGGTAGATCTAAACGATACGGTTACACACAAATTTTTTTAATTATATAGAGGTAATCTAAACGATACGATCACGCGCAAATTTTTTTTAATTATATAGATATTAATTACAAAAAAATGAAAAAAATCAAAATCATTATGTTTAATTATACTCTTCTTTTTAATCGATCGGCATAAGATCACGTTTTTTAATTTTGGCACGGTTAGGGTATAGGTAAAGTTTATATCGTTTATACGCGAAAATCAATTATTTTTTTATTGTAGCAATACGAGATAACAAATTCTTTAATATATTTATTTGTCAAAATCAAAAAATTTCATTTTATTTATTGACTACTATATTTCACACACACACTACACAATGTAATAAATACCTTTTGTAATGCTAATAAGGTTCTCAAAATTTTTAATGTTTTAGTATGCAAGTTCTGAAGTTGCTTATTTAATGATAGAGCTAAATTAAATTTATTATTAAAACAAAATTTATTTTACTTTAAAATGAAAATTAAATTTATTTTTAAAATACAAAAATTAATAAAACCGTATCGTTTAGATTACGTTTAGACTTTAGATTACCTCCATATAATTAAAAAAATTTGTGTACACACGATAACGATTTTATTATTCTTATTATTTTTATTTTTATTATTATTATTTAAAAAAATTTTTTTTTATACAATCCGCCCGTGAAATACAACAAAACTTTTTTAATTATATAGAGTAATCTAAACGATACGGTTACACACAAAATTTTTTAATTATATAGTGATAATCTAAACGATACACAAATTTTTTTTTTAATTATACAGATATTAGTAAATTCTGGTAAACAATCATTATATTTAATCATTTATTTTTATTTTTTATTTATTTTACTTTAAGAAGAACGGTTATTCTAGTCATTATATTTAATCATAGTATAATAAAAAAAATTACGCCATAAAATTACGATTTTTAATTTTGGCATGACGGGTAAAAATAGGTGAAGTGATTGAAAGTTTATATCGATTATACGTGAAAGTTAATTTTTTTAATTTTATTTATTGACTATATCTCTCACACACTACACAATATAATAAAGTAATATACTGTAGTACCTTTTGTAATGCTAATAAGGTTCTCAAAATTTTAATGTTTTTAGTTTGCATAAAATATAAAATTTAATTTATTTTTTTAAAAATACAAATTTAAATCTGACATTATTAAAATTTAAAAACAGAACGACCAAAAAATTTCGGTAACGTGACTTACAAATTTTATTAGCATTTTTATCAGAAAAATTTTCACAAAAAAATACTTGTATAATAATAATAAGTTGTAATTTTAGAAATTTAACAGTAATTTAATAATTGTAATAAAAAGATAATTTTATAATGTGTTACATAGAAAAGTCTTCTTCAAAACTTAAAGAATAATATACATTTCAAAGCAAAAATACTAAAATATTAAGCGAAAAAAAAGAAATAAGTATAAAAAAATTTAAAAAATTTTGTGTCAGAAATAAAATAAGTAATTTTTTTTTTATCTAAGGACAATTTATTACAAAAAAGAGCTTTAATTACGGTACTAACTATTAATAAAATATTTATTAGTATGATGATAACGGATAACAAGACATTGGTAAAAAAAAAAAAATAATTACTTAATTAACTTCAGTGTTAAAGTTAATGCATACTAAATCATTTAAAATAGGTGAATTCCAGTTAATAGAATTTTTATATCTGGCATTTTTATAAATCGCACATAATGCCACTATAGCATTTATTATGTATAGAATCATTATTGTTATAGCGAATATAATGCATACGATCATCGTATTATTATCCATTTTAAGTATAATCAATATAATTATGATAATGAAATTAATGATAATACAAAATTACAATGGAAGAAAATAAAATAATTAGTTATCGATATTTATATTTATTTTTAAAAAATATTTAAAAAATATTTGATTATTTGGAGATTTTTTTAAAAATTTCATGCGTAATTCATTTTACAAAAATGACAAAAATGGGTTCATACTACAGAAATTTTATTTTTCAAAAAAAATAATAGTTAATAAATAAAAAATAATTTTTTTTTTTATTTGACAAATGAATTTTTAAAAACTTAGACTTTGAATTCATCTTTTATGAGATATATTTCGTATTGCTACAAAAAAAAACTTTCAAGTTTCAACTGCTTTACCTATTTTACCGTTTAATACTTTATTTTTTAAAAATTTTTTACTTTTGGGTATATCTGGTGTACAGTATATATCCTCGCTTTTCCATGTACCCTACTTCTTCCAGTTTTATTAAATTCTTTTGACGTGACAATATTTAACTAATGATTTGATATTTATAATAGTTCAGACCTAGACTAAACTTAGTTCGAAATTCAGTTTTGAATTGGCAAATATTCTAAGTATAAACCAATAATTTATTCTGTCCAAAATTTAACTTATATTATACCTATTATTAAAATTAACTAGTATTACATGTCTTCATTTTCTTCAATTATCTCTTCAACTTTTCTTTCCTTGACCTGTTTATAGAATAATTCTACTAGTTTTTCGCTAGTGGTTGCATCTATAATATTCTTGTCCTCTCTAACTCTTATAAATCTAGGAGCTCTTAGAGAAAGTCCTTTGTTTTGATCCACTTTGCCAATAGCAGCTTTATAAACTGGTGATATTGTAATATCCGCGCCTTATAAATTTAACAGTAAAGATTGCAAATAAATAATTAATTAATTGAAGAATATATATTTAAAACATGTTCTTACCTTTAATTTCCCAAACTTCACTTGGTTCGAACCAAGCTAAAATTTATCAAGGAAATTTTTTTTTTTTCAGTAAATAGTTTCGAATTTCCAAAATAAACGGTAATGTTTTTACATACCATCTGGTCTAAGGCTATCATCAACATCAAAATACCATTTTTTATATTGTGATATATTGCCACTTTCCAGAGAATATCTTGATTTTAATTCCTTATAGAATTCATCACTAAATCCTGACATACATTTACAAACACTTTCAAATGTCTCTGTATTAGGATTATAAATCGCTAATAAAATTGGACTCCACCATCCGGCTTTTCTGCCATTTCCGTACCATGCAGCAATTGGCTTTTAAAAGACAAGTTAGATTTCACATTGTTTCAACTAACAATGTCAAAAATGTGTTTATTTACCACAACATCCAAGCTGTCTCCAATACCATCAATATAATCCTTTTTTACTTTTAACCAGCTTTTGATTCTTTTATCTAATTTATTAAATAATTGAAAAAAGAAATTAATAGTTTGACCCTCTATATATACAACCGATTTAAATAATACTAAACATATGTAAAATATCATACAGACCAGGTTCATAGCTAGCCAATAAATTCATTCGTGTTTTGTTTTCTAAATTTTTTGGTGAATCGTCTAAAACTTTAATCATTATACCTTCACATCCAAATTCTATCGATTCTTTGAAAAATAAATGAATTTCTTCTGGATCCGATGATTCAATATGATTAACGTATGTAAATCTATTTTTGATTTCGGTAAATTTAGTCCTCAAAAGTTCACGTCTCTCTCTTAATGACCTTTTCAAAAGCGACTTTAAAAAATGAATTAGGTTAAATAAGAATATTAAATAAAACAACTTATCCCTTAAAAATACTAACCTCGCCATTTAAATACATCAAATCAAAAGCAAAAATACAAATAGGTATGGTGATTGATGATAACTTAACATTTTTCCTTGATCGATTAGTTAGCGTTTGAAAATTTTGTATTATTCCCTCGGAATCAATAGCTACAATTTCACAATCCATAATAAAGGAATTGACATTATTCAAACAAATTTGAGGAATTAACTCGACCACATCAGGGAATCTCTCAGTCATATTCTGTTAAAAAAAATTTTTTTTTAAAAGCTATTTAAACTCTGTAATAAACAGGATTAAAAAAATTACCTCTAAATTACGACTAAATATAGTAACTTTTTCGTTAGCATCCATGTGAATTTGTGCACGTTGCCCATCATACTTATACTCACAATTGAATAATCTTCCTTCAAAATTTTCAAAAACTTGTCCTAAATCTCGTATAATTTCACCTAACATCGGTCTCAAAGGCACACCTTTAAAATAAAAATAAGTCAGTTTAAAAAATTTTATATCTTAAATTTTTTTATATTTTTTATATAAAATTTCTCGTGAAGATAATTACCGACTCTTAAATGACAGAAATCCAGTAACTTTTCTATTGGATGTTCCAATAGACATTCAACAATGCCATTATAATTAGGAAATTGTGCGTAACATTCTTTCACTAATTTTTCAGCTGCTTTTAATTTAGCATTCAAGGAATCTCTTGATTCTTTATTAACTTCAACAAACAGACGATTTTTATCATCTAAAGGCTCACTTACTATCATATTTGTTGGCCTTGTAAGACAAAATGCATGTGCGAGGGCGATTAAACAAGTAGTTTTCACAGCCCCGATCCTAAGATTTTGTACTAATGTTCTTGTAAGATACCTAATTTCTTCCCCCTTACAAGAAATTAGTAATTTTTTTACTAAATCAGTCTTTTGATCTACTACGCCAGATCCTTTTAATTTTGAAATGGAATAGAGAGTGTTATACACTTTACCAATAGTCAATGGTTTAGGTTCCATTAAAGTTCGAACAGAAACTTTTGCCGTATAAGCTACATCCCCCCAATCTCCATATTTATCGTAGTACTGTTTCAATGCCTTTGAAGATGCTCCAGACACAGATGTTATAGCTTTTGATAAAACTTGTGAACCAATCCCAAGTTCTATTCCTTCATATGAGGGTGCTATGGCATTCGAAGAAAGCCAAACAGTAGGTAGAACACTTTCAGGATCATGATAAATAATAGTACGTAACGCATTTGTCAAGATTTCTATAATCTTAAGTCGGCTTGTCGTTTTCTCAATAGCAACAAAAGTATCAACTAGGAAACGATAAGGAGCTTTTGATCCATTCCAATTAATTTTAGAAGGATCAAAATCCAAAACATTCATATCAACTGACATCTCGGACGAACTTGAGGATGCTATAGTATTACTATTTTTAAGTTGCCCAGTGAACTCTGACCCACTTTTTGTTGAATTCCGCGAAGTATCTAAAATTATCGATGCATCGGTTGTAGAACTTGACTCTTTAACATTAGAAATATCTACAATTGACTTTAGAGACAAATTGTCCTCCGATACAGCATTCGTCAAACCGTTGGCGTGATGTTGTTTGATATAAATAGGATTATTAACTGTTTTTTGAGAGTCATTTGTAGCTTTATTCTGTTTACTGAAGTAAAACTCTAAATTTCGTTGCTTTTTGTCCTCCTTAACCTTTTTCTTGGCTGATTCAGTCTTTCTAGTAGTAGTTCTTTTCATTCTTGTTTAATTGTAAATGAAAGGATCAATTTTGATCACAGAAGTATCACAGATCTCCGATCAAAGATCGGCTTAATCAGATCAACTAAATCGGAAAAAAAAATTTTTTTTTTTTCACAGACATGTATTCGCTCAGAACAACTAGTGCCAGGTTGCAACCTTGCGTGCGTTCTGTGATTGCTCAGACATCAAAAAAGTGTTTGAACAGTTCATTACGTCGTTGTAAGTTGAAATATATAAATTTCAATTTTAGTTTTATAACGAGAAAAAACATAATCGAATTTTTATTTTATTCAAACTATGACGGTTCTTTAAGCTTTATTCTGCTCTGGTTACGTCTTTAATAATACTCAATTGGTTAGTAGCAGGCTCTTAATATCTAACCTCTTTGAACATAGAATAGGTAGTGTTGTAGCTGCGGATCATTGGTATAAACCAAATAATAAAAGTGATATGACAATCGAATACTTTCAATTTAAATTGATTGCCATTTCTTAGCATCATTAAACGTGCTTTAGACCAATTACCAATTGATCCGCGCTTTCAGCGATATTTGTTGTAAAAAAATTTTTTTTCATTGTAATGATCCAGCTTGAATTACGAATACAAATTCTTTCCTAGGCCGTCTATAAACTCATAAAAAATTCGTCACAAAAAAATGGTGCGTCGTGGATACGATTTAACCTACAAAGTTGTGGTAATATCAATATATATTTATTCTTATGCATAATTGTTCTATTTAAATATAATTCCTATAAAATCTATATTATGTATTTAAAATAATTTAGTTAACAGATTTTACGCAACCGAATCGTCTAAATTTCAACGTGGAAAGCCGCACGTAAATATTGGTACGATTGGACATGTAGATCACGGGAAAACCACTTTGACAGCTGCAATCACCAAATGTTTAGCAAGGAAAGGTCAAGCAAAATTCAAAGATTACGGTGAAATTGATAAAGCTCCCGAAGAGAAAGCGAGGGGTATCACCATCGCTACGGCACACGTAGAATACGAAACTGATGATAGACATTATGCACATGTCGATTGTCCTGGCCACGCCGATTATATTAAAAATATGATTACTGGAGCAGCTCAGGTAAGTTAAAACGAGCTTATTATATGATGCAAAAAATTTCTCATTTGTTTCTTATTTAAATTTATACTCCATATAAAGATGGATGGAGCTATTATTGTTGTATCGGCTACAGATGGTCAAATGCCTCAGACTCGTGAACATTTACTTCTTGCTCGACAAGTTGGTGTATCAAATCTCGTAGTTTTTATTAACAAAGTCGATGCGGTAGATGATCCAGAAATGTTAGAATTAGTCGAAATGGAAATGCGAGAGTTGCTAACACAATATGGATTTGACGGAGAAAATGCGCAAATTATTCAAGGGTCTGCTCTTGCAGCTCTTGAGGGAAGAGACCCAGAAATTGGAGAAAAAGCTATAGAAAAGTTAATGGAGGCGGTAGATAAGCACATTCCTACCCCTACTAGAGATTTGGATAGACCTTTCTTAATGTCTATCGAAGGTAAAGCAGATTGTAATTAACTAATTTAATAAATTGATTAAATTTTCTTATCTCGTTTTTAGACGTGTTTTCAATTTCTGGACGTGGTACAGTAGCAACGGGTCGAGTGGAAAGAGGAACCATCACTAAAGGAGCAGAAATAGAAATTGTTGGTATGGGACCTCCCACAAAGACTACACTTACGGGTATTGAGATGTTTCATAAAGAACTTGATAAAGGAATGGCGGGAGATAATATGGGAGCATTATTACGTGGTATTAAACGAGAACAACTTCGAAGGGGACAAGTAATTGCAGCACCCGGTACAGTGAAATCACATAAGAAATTTTTAGCACAATTGTATATTTTAACAAAAGAGGAAGGAGGAAGGCATACACCTTTTATACAAAATTATAGACCACAAATGTATTTTCGTACGTCCGATGTTACAGTAAATTTAACATATCCCAAAGGGACGGAAAATCCCGAAGAAAAAATGGTCATGCCGGGCGATAACGTTGAATTGGAATGTGATCTTGTACATGATATTGCTGTTGAGCCCGGGATGAGATTTACGGTTCGTGAAGGTGGAAAAACTGTTGGAACTGGCGTTGTCACCAAGATTATTGAATAATTATTTCAATAGTTATTTTTCCGAAAACTAAATAAATTCGGGTTAAAAATCATATTTAATCTATCGACATTATTTCTTTGAGTTGCTTAAAAAATATTCTTATACAGTACTTAAAAAAATGACACTTATTAGCAAATTTTTGCACATTTCAATATTTCAATGATGACATTGAAAAGTTTTGCAAATAATTTAAACAATTTCAGTAGCTTATGTAACAACGATTTGTGATTTCCAGTTGTCTCATCTTCTCATCTTTGACTGTTAAGAATTTCAATGATTTTCGACCTTTGGCAGCTATGATCCATAGAATTTCTAACATAATCCAAATTATTTAAATTCACAGACAATGCAAGTGAATGATGCATTCATTGACGTCAGTATTGTGTGCCGGCTCTTTCTGCACCGTCGCATGATTCAAAATTAATTATTACCAAAGATCATATTAAATATCAAAAAAGAAATCGCAATATGATGATTAGTATACTTGAAGGTAATTTTAATTTATTTTTTCATGTATCTCGAGATTCTGCTAATTCTTGCTATGGAAATTCGTAATAAATTCAAAAATTTTTATATCAAAAAATGAGTATTTGAGTGAGAGAAATAAATTATTTAAAATATAGTAAAATAATTAGAATTAGGTAAATTACACTAACTGAAACCGTAATCATGGCCTGTGTTACCTGTGTTACGTTACTGCTCCTATCATATTTATGATCTATACGCAAAGATCGATGCCTGACAAAAAGATCCTACCTTTAAAAATATTTTCGAAATGATTTTGTTAGATTATCATAATGTTGTAATAGAAGAGACGCTGAACCAGCCGATTGTGAAGTGAGTCAGTCATAAAGGTCATAATTTATTAAAAGTTTTAAACTAAAATTGCTTTATATTTTAGTCTAGAACCTACAGTTTTGGATATGACTGTAGTCGATTTTGATGGAGTAGCTTACCATCTTTCAACTCCAGAATCTAAATCTGTAATTAAATTTTCGTTAATTATGCAATGTTACAAAGAGCTTGTTCAATGGGGTGCTCAGGATATGTTACAGAGAGAATATGGCCCATACTGTGTCCCTAAAGAAGATGGATATGATGTTACTTTAGAATTTGACTTGCAAAAACTACCTGAAGATAAAAGTTAGTAATTCAATGATTCATACTTCTTTATGTTAAATATTAAATTATATATTAATTCAAACAGGTCAAAGAGAAGAACTAGTAAAGAAATTAGCTTTAATTAAACGTAATCTAATGGCTCAACCATTTGAACGTGCATTTGAGCAACAAGCTCAATTTGAAGATGAAAAACAACCCAACCCAACACCTGATCTCATGCAAATTCATTATAGAGATCAGGAAGCTATTTATATTCAAGCCCAATTGGATAGAGTCACTGTAATCTTTACTACATTATTTAAGGAAGAGACTGATAGAATATTTGGCAGGGTGTTCTTACAGGTATGAAAATCTGGTTGGATTGCAAAAATAATATACACTTTAACAAAAACTATATACTATTTAGGAATTTGTTGATGCTCGTCGTCGTCCTGCCATTCAAAATGCTCCACAAGTGTTATACTCAAGCAAAGAGCCTCCATTAGAAATCAGACATTTACCAGAATTACAAAATACAAGTGAAAATGAGGATATTGGATATGTCACGTTTGGTATTACTTTGTTTATTTATTAATTACAAAAATAAATTAAATAATCTAAATTCACTTTCTTAACTAGTTTTGTTTCCTCGCCACTTTGCCAAGGGAGATGTAAGAGAGAAGACGATCTCTCAAATTCAATTATTCCGAGATTATCTTCACTATCATATTAAATGTTCAAAGGCCTATATGCACTCTAGAATGCGTGCTCGTGTGCAAGAATTTTTGAAAGTACTTAACAGAGCCAAACCGGAAGTACCAAATGTTGAGAAAAAAACAATAACGTTAGTACTTTATATTAAATGGTAATTGCATTCCTTTGTAATCAACGTATTAATTCTTTTTTTTTCCGAATTTCTAGAGGAAAAACCGTTATCCGATCTTAAATTTTTTTTTTAAAAAAAAATATCTTACAATAAAAATAATTAATTTAAATGTAAATATGTGTTCATTAAATATCTAATATTAAGCTTGATAATAGTAAAAAATAGTAAAAATATTATTTGCTTTAATTCAGCTTTCTGACTGGTATTTAGTTAACTATAAAAATATCAAATGAATAATAAATAATTAATTAAAATCATGTGATAAGATGTCAACCAATAAAAATCAAATGACTGAAATGATCAAATGATTAGGCAAATGTTGTCATATTTAGGTTAAGTCTGATATAAAAATTAGTTTGTTTGTCTTTTCCCATCCGAAGTTTCTTTTTCGCTATTAAAATGAATTTTGTAAATCGCCATTTTGACGCGATACAAAAAGAACGTGGTTATATCATTTCCGTAAGTTTAAATTTGTTCATTTATTTTTATTCAGAGGTTATTCGTATTTATTTATTTTTGGATACCTTTTAGCATCAAATTGTTGATTTGACTATAAACTTCTCCGACGAATCATTAGAGGTATGTATATTTTACTTTTGATATTCTCTTATCCTCTTAGCTTAATGCTCATAATTTTTCTCCTCTATTAGGGATTCACCGAACTTTTACTGTATCCACTTACTGAAGATATCTGTATAATAAAATTACATTGCAGGCAATGTGGTAACTATTACATGGATAATATGTGATATTATACATTTTAACTATTTCAAATTTTCATATTATGCCAATAATTTAAAAAAGATAGTTAAAAAGAAAGAAAGAAAAAAGAGAATTAGCGAATATCTAGAAGTAAACAAATAGTGTTGTAACGTTATCATATTTAAATTAATAAAATATTTTATTTTTAACAACAATTATTACCATTGATTTATTTATTATTTGTATATTGAATAACATCTTCGTTTTATATTTAAAAAGCAATTAAACGTATAACGGTAAATGACTTTGACGCGCCTTTTGATATTCCTTTTATACATTATGAAACTGAGAAAAAGTCGAATATCGGACATGAAGGCGAACTTATGATTCCTGTACCTAAAGAAATAGTTGAGATTATGCAAACAGATGAAGTAATTGATTTTTTTTTATTGGGCATATCTATTTAATATCAATATAATTGAAACTATTCTTTGTTTATAGCAAGGATTAATAAAACCATTCAAGGTTCGAGTGGAATACAAGTTAAAACAACCTCAATCTGGTGTACATTTTGTACATCCTGATCCAAATCGTGAAGTAAATAAATCTATAGTAAGTTTACTTTTTATACTTATATAAGATCAGAATTCAATTTTTGCTTCTAGTTTACTAATATCAATTATGCGTAGCTTGATCCATATGTCTTTACTGTTAACCACCCGGTAGGCGGTGTAACAAGATATTGGCTTCCATGCCTAAATCGATTCAATGATAAATGCACATGGGAATTGATTTTTACTATTAAAGATGTTGAAGGTTATGATGAATTGAGTGTTGTTGCCAGTGGGAAATTAGTTAAAGTGGTAAATAATTATTCTAATTTGATAATTATATCGAATTTTTTTTTATTATTTAAGAGAAATAACATTTTGATAATAGGATCGCTCTCTTGATAACCCATACCAAAGGACATTTTATTATGAACAAGATGTTGCCGTTCCGGCGCAGTTTATTGGATTTGCTTGTGGACCTTTCACCAAAAGCAGAAATTTACTGTATCAAGGTGATGTTATATCACCTCAAGATAGGCCGGAGATTAAAGTTTTTATTACTGAACGGTTATCAGAATATCTTGAGCCAACAATGTTACCCAGCGAAAGTCCTAATATGAGCAAATACTGGGTATCTGATGTAAGTGATAGATTTTGCATATTCTATTTAATTGTAATTTTCATTAATATTATTATATTGTTACTTCAGATAATAAATTGGTTTATAGAAAAATTTCCTTTTTCTGTACCTAATAATAATTCGCATCATTCAAGTTCATCTTATCCAGCCATAAAAGATCTTTATTTTCCTTTTAAAGCACTAAACATAGCTTTTGTTGAAGGCTCATATCATGATATTTCGGTTACTGCCGGTCTCATTATTTGCAAGTATGTAATTATTGATATATTGTCTTTTTCCAATATCTTTATTAACATAATTTAATACATATACAGATCAAAATTGCTGCATAATTATCGTATAATTGAACAAAGATTTGAAACCATGCAGTTTATAGCGCATGCTATAGCTCAGCAATGGTTTGGTATTTTTCTTTCGCCTCACAAATGGTAAGCTACAATAAATTTTGAGAGATGTTATTTTTTTCAAATTAGTATATAACATTTCCTATTCATATTATAGGTGTGATTTATGGTTAGTCTTTGGTCTTTCGTATTATTGGGTTGAAATGTATTGCGAAACAATATTTTCTGAGGATAAAATAAGATTAGATCGTAAAAAGGTATTAGTAGAAATTCTTTGATAGTATCGTATAAATAATTAATGTTTTTGTTATTTTGTTTATGTGTATAATTATAGAGAATTGAATCAGTTGTTCAAAGAGATGTCAATCAATACGCAATATGTTCAGATAAATGGAATTTTCCTCTGACAGTAGGAAACTTTGACTTTATACGATCCAAAGCGTCCCTCGTTATTTGGATGTTAGATAAACGTTTATTATTACTTGGTTATTCCCGTAAAATGGCAGGCTTGATTTATCTTATCTTATCCGATGCAAAATCTTCGTTAGAGAAGAATAAACTTCAAGGTTTTCTCAATACACGAGATTTTTTGCTATTATGTAAATTTGTTATACGTCAGGAACTTCATAATGAAATTAATTCTTTTTCACGTCAATGGATCTATGGTTCTGGTTGTCCTATATTTAAAATTGCTTGTAAATTCTCTCGGAAAAACTTACTCGTTGAATTTGATATTGAGCAAAGGAATACAAATTCAGTTTTGTCAAACAATTCAACAAAATTCATTTTGAACCCAGCTTATTTCACGGTACGACTCGAAATTTTTTTTTTTTGTAAAATTAACTCGATTTTAACCTATTTTTATTTATCTTTTTACTATAGGGAAAATTGGAAGTATCAGTAAAGGAACCTGATGGCTATGAATATATTAATACATTAGATATCCATAAGGCGCAACAAATCGAGACAATCAATTATCACACAAAATATAAGCGTTCCAAGGTTATTATTAAACCTCGCATGGTGAGAAAAGAAGGCATTAATGACAATGAGGAAGTGGCTTATATGCGTGATATAATTGCCGAATATATGGAAGAGGACCTTCCCGAGTTTTTTGGTTTAGATCCAGAAAATAATGTTGAAAACGAATGGATGATTTACGAATGGGCCGACGATCCAGCGGCTCGTAATGCCAGGTAATTATTAGATAATACTACGTATGTTACCTTATTGTATATTCATTAATATTTATATATGTGCTTGATAACAGCGAACAATGGGAATATATTCGAATTGATCCAGAATTTAGTTGGCTTGCAAAATTTGAGTTCTCACTAGCTCCATACATGTGGGCAAATTTATTAGAAGAGTCAATTGACGTAATTGATCATTACAAGGTTTGTTCTGTTGTATCTAATTTCTTATTCAATTCATTTAAGTAATTTTTTTTTTAATAAAAAATTTTTTAAGGCTATTCAAGCTTTATCAAAGTATAATAGTAAAGCTGCCTCGACAACTCTTATGCGAACTGTCAATGATTTTAGATATTTTTACGATATACGTATAGAGGCATCAAAAGCATTGTCAAATGTAAGTTTCTGTATTTCAAGTTAATGGTAATTTTATCTAATATTTTTTTTTTTTTAGTTTGGATTGGACGATGTAGAAGGAATTGGCACTCGCCAATTACTGAAACTCTATGAAAGCATTTACTGCGAAAAAAATGATGATGGTGAATACATTCCATTACCAAACAATTTTGATAGCTGGGAAAAATATTATTTACAAAAGGTAGAACCCCAGTTTAAAGTGTTTTGAAGTGATAATTTATGGTAAATCTATATTATCTTTTTAGGCAATGATAGTTTCCATTTCCCGTTTACGAGACTCGAATAATTTGGCTCCACTTGAGGTCAAGAAATTTTTGTACAAAAGACTGAAATGGAATGATAATTCAAAGAACTATGTATGTTAAGGTTGAATTTCACTATTTCATCTTTCGATTTAAAATTCTTAACTTACATTACTTTCTCTGACAAAGTATTCAGATGACTATTTGATTAATGTACTTATTCGAAGTTTAGCAAATTCTTTTGCAAATATTAATAATAATGATAAGAATAGTAAAAATAATAAGGACACATCTACATCTGGAGAAGTCTTTTATCTTTCACTTGAAGATCAAGAATATAAAAGTGAAACCATAAATATAATTGAGGAAATTCTGCGTAGAGATAGATCTCTAGGATCTTATAATGACATTATCCTTGAGGGCATTTTATGGGTATTTATAAGCAGTTTATTATTTTTATTGTTTACATAAATGTGATTCCTATTTCATCTTTTTTATTTATAGGCCAAATCGTTTTTAATGATGAATCAAGTAATCGATAAAAACAAGCATGATTTTGTTTATTATGCCAAGTAAGCATGAACATTTTTATAAATCGTTTAATTGATAATTTATTAATAATTTATGTGTATAAATACATAAAGAGTAGGGAATTATTATGGTGTCAGAAAAGTTTCTATAAAAGCTTTGTGGATCCTTGGCTATTGCAAAGATGATTTTGAAGTTGGAAGTTTATTATACAATCTCAGCATATCAGACCCTGACCTTGCCATTAGGAATTATATAAACACTTTATACGGTGCGGATCAGGGTCTGATTAGACTCGAATTTCCAAAGAAGGATATGTCAGGCTCTACAAGATTGAAGCTCAAATTTTCAAAGTCATCAAATCCTATGAAAAGTTTCTCTATACCTTTAGAGTATGAAGAGGAAATCAAAATTGAAGATTCGGAGGATTCATTATCCAATGATAATACGATTGAAGAAGGTCATCGTCATTCGAAAACAAAAACTCATAAACACAAAAAGTCACATTCTTCGAAGACCAAAAAAGAGAGTAAGGAGTCCAACATTGAACCCGAGGCTATTAAACAGCTAATCGCTACGATTGAGGAGAGCTTAATAGAAACGGAAGCAGCAGTCCCTTCAAAGAAACGGAAAAAGAAAAGCGAAAAGTCAATTGATACTCCTGTACATATTTCCTCAAGAAAACGAAGATCAGTTCCAGAGGTTGAGGAAATAATTGAGATCGAAAAAAAGCCGAAGAAGTCAAAAAGACCTAAGAAATAAGGTGTAAGTAATATGTTAGATCATAAAACAAAACCATCAACCTGAAATTTAGCTTAATACACCTGAGGAATCGAACACTGAACTAAGAATTGATTCCGTGTCATTTTATTAGTTGTATGTTAGTTATTTTTCTGTGTATATATGATAGTTGATAATATAATACAATAAATAATTTTTTTCCTTTATATTATTTAGAATAATTAAAGAATTTGTAGACCGTTTATAGTATGTAATTGAAAACAATGCGATAAAATAAATTATTTAATGTCACATATATTATTAACGATTAAATAATTAAGAATTTGTAGGTCGTTTTATATAAGGTTTAGTAGGATCTTCGGCTAAAACTTTCGGTGGTTTAAATTCGCCACCCAACTTTTTCTTCTTTTTAGCAGAACTATTTGAATTTTTTTTAGTCTGGAAATCTCTCCAATTATTAACCCTTTGTTCTCTAGTTTCTTCCCATAGTTTGTCTTCTTCAGCCTTTCTTTTTCTTTCTTTTTCAATTTGTTCAGCTTTTTGAGCAGCTAACCCTTGAGCCTCTAATTCACGTTTTAATGATTTACGTCTACGTAATTCTTGTTCTATTAAAATTTCTTTAGTTTTCTGTTTAATTTGTAAGGGGTCTGGCTTTATCTTTTGTTCATTAGTCAAAGTTATTTTTGCTTCTTCAATAATTGCTAATAATAATTGACGTGATTTTTCATTTGATAATTCTGTCTCCGCCTAGAAAAAAAAAATCAAAATAAATATATATAAATGATATTAAATGATAATGACGCGATGATTCTTTTTTTTTTAAAAAAAAAATACCATACCTTTTTCAATAAAGAAAAGGCTTCTTGTGCTCTAGGATGTTTTGTTTTATCAGGGTGAATAAGCAAAGATTTTTTTCTATAAGAGTTTTTAATATCTTTATCTGTGCAATCAGGAGGAAGATCTAAAATGTCAAAAGGATTTAACCTAAACGCGGAGAGAATACGTTCAACTTCTTGATCTTTTTGTAATTGTGTTGCTTCTGTTGCAAGGTATTTATCAATGTCGAGATCATCGGACATTTTTATATTTCTGAAAAAGAAGTAAAGTAAAAAATATAAATTGATCAGTAAGTTTTTTTTAAAAAAAATAAAAAGATGTTAAAGATATAATTTTTAAAATTATGCACAATATGTACAATGAGGTACCGTATTTAGTGGTAGACTGGTACTATGTCCTGATTGAATGATAACTATGAAGGACAAAACAATGGCATAATTAAAAAAGTGTTTGTTTGTGTAAATTAGGAGTGAACGTTAAATTTTTGCCACGTTTTCATCTCCAATTTTTTATGAAATAAATATAAAGCTCATTCTTTCCTTCCTTTTTTTTTGATAAAAAAAAAGAAAAAATATTATTACAAAAATAAATAAAAATTGATAAAATGAAAATACGTGGTATTTTTCTCGCGGCTAGTATTTTAACTTTATCAATTATCACTTCAGCTGAAGTATATTTAAAAGAAACGTTTTCTGATGCAGATTGGGAAAAGGTACCCTTTTTTTCGTGGGCAAATTAATTTTTTTTTTAAAAAAAAAAAAAATTTTTAAAAAAACGATTTATTTTAGCGCTGGATACAATCACAACATCGAGATGATCTTGGAAAATTTACGGTATCTTCAGGAAATTTTTATGCGGATGAAATAGAATCTCGTGGATTAAAAACATCTCAAGATGCCAAATTTTATGCAATTTCGACTAAATTAAATAAAGAATTTAATAATACTAATAATGATCTTAGTAAATATATATATATTTATATACGCATTTTTTGATTATTTTTAAATTATGATCAAAATTCGAATAATATTTATTTTCCTTATTAAAATTTAGTCGTTCAATTTTCGGTTAAACATGAGCAAAATATTGATTGTGGCGGTGGTTATGTTAAGGTATGATTTTGATTCACTATTTTATTTCGGGGATATTATAAACGAAATTGTGATTAATTGTAATTTTAATCTTTTAATTCCGATTAGCTTTTACCACCCGACTTTGATGCTCTTAGTTTCAGAGGAGACTCTCCATATAATATCATGTTTGGAGTAAGTAGCCTGCAAAAAAAAGGAAAAAAAAACTTGGAAGAATTTAATAGGATGGATAAGTCTACATTACATCATGTGATGATATCAAACTTCAAACATGTGATTTATTAACGCAAAAACAAATTTTTTTATAGCCTGATATTTGCGGATCAGTCAGAGTAGTGCACCTCATTATAAACTATAAAAATAATAATAAAAAACTTACGAAACAAATCACTGCGCCTTCTGATCAATTAACACATTTATATACCTTAATAATAAAATCTGATCAAGTGAGTATTTGATTTATATTGGTTTTTAATGCTTCATATACATATTTTTGTAACATAATAATTTTTAATTATTTAGACTTACACAGTATTGATTGATAATAAAGAAGAAGCATCTGGAAAAATGGAAGTAGATTTTAATTTACTTCCTCCAAAGGAAATTCATGGTTAGTAGTCCGCTTTTTTTGTAAGAATTTGAACCTTTTGGTTTCTGATAAGCATCAAGAAACAAATATTTTCTTTCTTATTTTTTTTTTGAACATAATTATAGATGCAGAGGCAGAAAAACCCGCTGATTGGGACGAAGAACCACTAATTCCAGACCCTGATGATGAAAAACCAGATGATTGGGTAGATGTACCAAGAACAATTCCTGATCCTAAAGCCGAAAAACCAGATGACTGGGATGGTAAGTAAAAAATTCGATTGTTTCTTTTTTTTCCTTAATTTTTTAATAAATTTATCTTTACTACAGATGAATCGGATGGAGATTGGGAACCACCACATATATCAAATCCAGAATTTAAAGGAGAATGGGAACCAAAAATGATAGAAAATCCAAAATATAACGGAACATGGTATACACCAGTTATACCAAATCCTGATTATAAAGAAGATAAAACACTTCACGTATTTAATACTTTATATGTTGGTTTTGATTTATGGCAAGTTAAAAGTGGTACAATATTTGACAATATTTTAATTACTGACGAAATTGAAGTGGCTAAAAAATTTTCAAATGAAACTTTTGTGAAATATCGTGATGCTGAATTAGAAGCCAAAAGAAAATTAGATGATTTAGAAACTGGAAAGACAAAATCAGAAAGCGAGAAAACAGATAAGGAAGATAATCTTGAGGAAGATAGTGAAAATGATGAAAATGATGACATTGTCGACTTAGATGTTGAAATTGGTCCAGGTGGTCAAGTTAAAGTAACAAAGCCTGATGATTTGCCACCAGCACAAGATAATAAATCAATTCAAGAATCTACTACAACATCGGAATCGTCGCCTTCACCTTCTTCAACGAAGGATGAAAACGATGAACTTGATAAGTCTTTCAATGAATTTGAAGAAGAAATAGGAATACATCGAAAAGATGAATTATAACCATATCGGTTTTCTTAATTTATTTTTAATGAATTTTTGATAAAAATTGTCATTGCAAATCTTTAATTGTAGCCTTATTAATAAATTTAACTTGGTTTAAAAAAAAGAATTAGTTATAAAAAAGAATTTTATTCGTGCAATTAATTACAGTAGCTATGTACTTTAGCAAAGCTCTTTCCCTTGCAGACTATTTTTCCCTTGCAGACTAATCATTATTCTCCTCTATAAGAATTAAGATTAATTGTTTCTTGATATATAATTTAAACAAAATTAAATTTTTAGATGATGTAATTTTTTTTTTTTTTTTGAATAATTGTTATTGAAACGCGACATCAAACCTCTCTGCCACTACTTTACCGCCACCACTTGCAAATCCGGTTCCTAAAAAAAAAATTTAAAGTTGGTAAATTTTCACAAAATTTAAATACAACAAAATGTATGTTACCTTCTCCTGACATATCAACAATATCTTTGTCCCTGCATTTAATATCGCATACGAAACATTGTTTAGTTTTTCTAACAAACTTATCAACACATATTTTACAAATAACATGTCCACATGGTTTAATTACTGAAAGATTGACAGAAAGGTTAGAAAAATATTAATTATGAGTATTACTAGAATTTGAATACTTACAGCAAATTTTTAGAGAATTTGTTAAAGTTTTACGACACGAAGGACAAATTAAATTTGTTTTTTTAGAAGTAGGGTCTTTATCTTCTGTAAACTTTGTGGGTATTAAAGTTTTCATGCTACAAAAAAGTAATGAGTTTAGTAATTATAGCAGCAAATGAAAAATATTACTATAAGTATAACATACCTAATTGGATGTTCCGGATCAGAAGCAGTACACATTGTTTGTTGTCTTGTCTGTTTTACTTTATCTGGATCTGCAGATGGAGTGAGTGAAGGCTATTTGAAAATCATAAATAAATACTAGTTAGAAAAATGATGTTCCTGATGAAATTTTGGGGATGAAATTCATCCTGAGAGATAAATTTGACATCATTTTCTGATTTTTCTATAAAAACTAAATGTCATAGGCAATATAGGCACCTTTCATATACTATATACATACCAGCCAAAAATTAGGTAATTTAGGTTTCGACGCGAGAATCTATAGAAAAAATAATAGTTTAACAATATATATAAATAATTTTCTTAAAACAAAAAAAAAAAAATAAAAAATAAAATTATATTTACCCTTTCTTCTTCCAATTTTTTTAATGCTTCTTCTTGGTCCCGTTTTGCTATGGCTGTAAGTTCTTCATCATCAAGTTGAAATTTTCTTTTTTTGTCTAAAGATTAACAATTCAATTAATGATCCATTCTAGAAAATATTAATTACACTTATTTAATTAATAACATACTATTAGATGACGATGATCCAGTCCATTCTATAGCTTTAACACCTTTTACACTTTCAGGAGACTTTTCAAAATCTTTCTTGCTACTGTTTTCATTTGTTGATGAAGATCCATTGGTAGACCCATTCTTCGCTTTTATCCCCCCCTTTTCGCTACTATTTGTCGCTGTAATCGGTGTAATTTTAACTTGTTGTCTTTCAAACTCTTGTATCACGGCTTCTTTAGCTAATTCAGCCTTTCTTTTAGCTTCCTCTTCTTCATCTTTCGCTTTGGCTTCTAATAATTTTTGTTGACGTAATATTTCTTTTTTTTGTGCTAAAATATTTTCTAAAATACACTCTTTACAGTATAAATGACCCTGTGTACAACAAACCGGCTCTCGAGCTCTTTGAAGACATAAATAACAAGCATCACATTCTCTCATAGAGTCTCGTCCTAATCGTTGCTACAAAGTCAAAATTTGATTGTTAAAGGACGAAAAAAAAACTGGGAGAGATATTTAAAAATTACCTTTTTTGTCCCATAATCTAAGGCTTTACCTTCTGCATAGGTAAAAAACGAAAGTGCAGTGTTATTTTTACTGTGTCGGGGCATTTCTTTTATTTTTTTTTGAAGAATTGACCTTCAAGTATATCTTTAAAAACAAAGTTGAGTGTCTTTGGTCCAGCACTATTTGTAAAATAAATATACGGCAGGTTTCTTGTAGTACAGAGTGGCATGCATCCGCATCCGCATTATACAATTGTAGATCAATAATTCACTTTGGTCAGCTTTAGTACAATAATACAATAATATTTTTCAAATGTTTAGATTTATTACTGATAACACTTTTAAATCTTTCGCATTTCTAAAGTTACGAAATAATTTTACAGTTACCTCATTTAGATCTTTATTTATAGGGTATAATATCCCGCATAATACACAAAATAATTTCTCAAATTCAATATTAAGAACAAGACAAAATAATGGTTATTCAAAAAATAAATATTTGTTATCAAGATATAATCATGATATACCAAAGGTTCATAGACATTGTTGGAAATGTAGTTCGGAAATAGACTACCTTTCAATTCATTGCAATAGAAAAGATTGTGGTGTTATACAAAGTGTATTTCCTAATGATGTTACTTATTTTGAAATATTAGGTGCTGGAAATAAAATTAATGGACAGTAAGTTTAATTTTACTTTTATAAGAATTATTATTATCCTTTGGAGAATATTGACTTTTATTATCTCTTAAATTGATCTTAGATTACAACCAACATACAATATTGATTCTGGTCAATTAAGAAGAAACTTTTTATTACTTCAACAACGTGTACATCCTGATAGTTATAGTACAAAAGAAGATCGAGTAAGTAAATTTCTCTTCCTAAAAAATTAAACAAATAGAAATTTTCTTATTAAATTATAAATTATTTTAGCAAGAGTATAATTACGCATCACAACAATCTTCTTTAATTAATAAAGCTTATCAAGTATTACGAGATCCTCTCTCTAGAGCCAAGTATATGGTATTGTAAATTATTTTAAATCTTTATAGAAAAATTAAACTAAATATGTTTAAATGAAATTCTTTTCTTTTAAATAGCTTCAGTTGAATAATATATCAATTAGTGAATCTGAATCATTACAAGATCAAGAATTATTAATGGAAATTTTAGATGTAAGAGAACAATTAGAAGAAGCCACAAATGAAAATAATGTAAAAGCTATTAAAAATGAAAGTGAAGGTAATTAAACATCTTTAAGAATTTAAATCAATCAGCTTACAGAATTAACAGGATTAACTTCTTGTGAATATTACAGATAAAATTAATAATATTATAGCAGAATTATCACAAGCTTTTAATTCAAATGATTTTTATATGGCAAAAGAATTGACAGTAAAATTACAATATTGGTATAATATAAGAAATGCTACTATAGATTGGCAACCAGGAAAACGTGTTGAGATATTTCATTAATAATAATAATTCTTATATTATTAACATATATATATATACTGTATATAAGAAAATTTTTATTTTCATACCGGGGGATACCAGTATCCTCCCCCAAATTTAAACTCTGAGTTTTAAAATATTCAAATTCTGATTTAAAAATTTTCCTTTATGTCTAGTTGGATTTGATATTTTAGAAACATCAATCTCATGTTCAATTTGTTTGTTATTTTCATTCTATACAGACAATTGTTGTTTAATAAAGTCTTGCAAAAGCTTTTCAAAAACCTTGTTTGAGCCATTTGTAATTGCTAAATTCAAAGCTTTCTTACAAAGTTCAAGACCATATCCATAAAATTCTCTTTTTAGCAGAATTATTATAAACTTCTTCCTCACAAAATTTTTTCTAACATTTCAAATATTTTACCTGAAATTGGTATAACTTTGTCTTCTATTAATTTAATAGGGAATTCTTGTCTTTTATCAATCAACATAAGACCTTCTTTAGAATACCAATAAGAATTTATCAATCTTATATCAAAAAGCACATTTTTTGAATAAATCATTACAGAAAAAAAGTACCTGCAAATGAAACTGAAATGTATTAAATAAAGACATATAAAGTAATGTGTATTATCATTAAGTAATATTACAAATTGAACATACTTTATTGTACTCTAAATACATTTAACTACCCAAATTTCTTCTACTTTACTTTTAGCATAATCTTATAATACCATACTGAGTAAAATTTTTAGCTCTTTATAATCATTTTCTATAAATCTGATATTATAATAAGGATTTATCAAATCTGTATTATTCATATCTTGTATTAATATTTTATATAGCAAACTTCCAATATTTGTTTTTGTTGCAAAGCCAATGAATTTAAAGTAATATACTTCTTTCATATATCATCAACCTTCATAAAAATTATATTAGAAATATGAAAAAGGCCTACTGTAGGATTCATATTACGAAATTCTTGTAATCTTGCATATTTTGTTTCATTTTTTAGTTACAATTCAATTCTACTACAAAGTTTAAATAATGTATTACTTGAATTTGCTTTCAATTTTATAATCTGATTTATACTTTTCACATGTTGTGTTAAATAAATGTTTGCAGAAAATTTTGCTTAGTAAATTCATATACTTAGCATTTTTTTGTTAAATATATACTTATTTATTAAATCTTCTTAATGACAATTAAAATCAAATATTACATGAAAGTTTTGTAATATATAAAAATCAATAAATTTAATCCATTTTTCATAAAGGTTTTTTTTAATTTTTTTGACCAAATTTTAATAAATATGAAATATATAGTATCTTGTTATAGTTTGGAAATATTGAGTACTTATAGCTACTTATATAGCAAAATCAGCATTAGTAAAATGAATATATAACTAGTTGAAGGTTATTTATAGCCAACATTATTTGTTTGTTTTTTTTTTTTTTTTTAAACTTTATTATAGATGCGATCATATCCTATTATAATCACGCTTACTTAATACTTACATATATAAACTTACAAAATATAAGATAAACAAATACATATAAGAATTAAGCATTATGAAATAAGACTACTTTTCATAAAAAACAAGTCGACCTGTCACCTAAACGATCACATCATTGTTAAAAACCATGATGCGACCTCAAATTCAAAGGTGACTGTCATGATCTACCTAAAAATTTGCCCAATGACCGCCACGATGGAATGCCAAATCATTCCATTTATTCCAATTACTTTCTAATATATTACAGCCAACATTTTTAACACCCACTTCAGTGCTTTTATTATGTGACTTAGCTTTTTTATCTTTAACTCTAATACCTTACCGCTTTTCTTCCTTTATTTGTAACTCGTTCCTTGGTTCCCAAATAAGCACTTTGAATTCTAATAAAACTCTCCCATTTATTTGTTTCAGTACCTTATACAACAATTTTTTTTCAGTTATTTTATAGCACCTTAATAATTCTATTAACTGACAACTAACTTGATTTTTCATTAAAAATGTAAAATTATATAAGCGTCCAATATCCCACATACCAAGCTCATTAATTTTAACTTTTAATTCTTGTATATCTATATTATCTCTTGAATACTCCTGTATAATTTTAACTAAAAAAATTTTTAATCGTCTACACTATACATGTAGCTGAAACCTACATGAAGCTGGACAAGGTTTCAGCCTTTCAGTAATTTAATTATAATAAATTATTAAAAACTATCTAGAAATCCATCCGAAACTTCAAAGACTTTATATTATAGTTTCGGCTGGATGTAGAGATTAATTTTTATCATTTTTTAATAACTTAATTTTGATTTAAAGATGTGGCCAAAAATCATGTGAAAAAGTTTCAGCTACAAGTATAGTCTACACGTCATAAATAACGTGCATGTATGATTCTTTCTTTATTAAAAAAGCTGTATGTACATACTATCGAATACAGAATGATGAAACGATTTTTATAATTAATTCTTTAAAACTACTAAAAGAAGTCTATATATTTTTCTTTCAAATAAAATTTGCCATATGTAAATATAATCAAATATGGAATGGTGTGAAACTAAAAATAAATTCAATAGACAATCTGTCTATATATTTTTCTTTCTAACCTAATAGCCTTATGTAAATATTATCAGATAAGGAATGATTTAAAATCTAAAAATAATTATTCATTTTTTCTCTATTGATAATTTGTTTCTACGTAATTATCTATCCTACAAAAGAAAATAGAAAAACAAAACAAGAATAACTAATTACTTATTAATACTTTCTTAATATCACGCACCCTTTATCTTACGATCTTTAATATCGCACTGATTCTTTACGTAACTGTAAGAGACTTTATGATCTCTTCTTTTTTTTTAACTCCATCATGAAATATCTTTAAATTATCAAGGTCTCTGACACTATTTAACCCCCTATGAAATTCATGCTTTGTAATCGGTACAAATTTATTTAGTATTTCTTGCCAGGTAAGCATATTTTTCTGTTCTCTAATTTCTAGCTCTTGTAAATTTGTGGTAATATTATCTACCATAAAATTCTTACCAGCACTCGTTTTTTGTTCAGCCACCTCAATATCTTCTCGTTCGAAAGTAGCTTCTTTTTTCTTTCTTAATATAAGAAAATATTCACTGTTGAAGGAATGATTAATAAAAATATCATCTTTCAACATGTTGTATCCTGATTTACTTGTAACTTGGTCAAACAAAAACTTCAATTCCTTGTTTGATATATAATATTTCTTAAGAATATCACATCTTCGTTTCAATCGATGTTTAGAAACTACTGGCTTTAACTCAAATCTATTATTAGTGTAATTCCATTTATTCTTATGATTTTTGAGGCTATTTGTAAACCTCTTTTTATACTTCTCTTGTTCTTTCATCGTTTTGAACTGTTTGTTAATAGCCAAATTCGAATATGTAACTAAATAGTTACCTGTGCCACTATCCATTGAAACCTTTTTTGTATAAGTAACGCCTATGTGTTTACTTACTATTTGTTTACTTTGACAATAAATTTTAAACGTATTTTGCATGGGAGGTGTAGGTATTACTATCACCTTTGAATGACAATTTTGGCATACTTTTCTATTGTTTGACATTACATAAGCACAGACATTACTACAAAATGAACATAGAATATAGAATCCCAAATACCATGTTCGTTTACCATAACTAAATTTAATATAAGTTGTAGTCTGTCTATTCTTTTCTTGTTTCTTTAATCTATTTTCTATCGCTATAAGTTTATTCAATAGTAATTGACGTATTCTATAAAAATACTTATTTCTAGCATTTAAATCAATAGGCAACCCGCAAAATACATTCGTCAAGTATTTTGAAATCCTGTATTTAGTATTCATCATAGGCTGATCTGAATTAATCAAATAAGGCTTATCATATTTCTTTGTTATATGTCTATTGTTGGTAATAATCGTCAATATATCTTTCTCTTTCTGTAATAAATCCACATGCAAAAGGATATAGGACTTTCCTTTTCTGGTGGAATATAACGTATCAGCCCCTGTGTACCATTTCACTTTTTCTGGATGGAAAAAAGTATAGCCGATAAAAATTTCTTTATTCAGCATCTTTAATCTGATTGGTGCACTGTATTTACGCCTTCTTTTGAAAAAATTTTGCAAGAAAACAAAACTTTTATGTCTTTAAAGGACTATTAAGCCCTTGTGAACTTGTTCGAACTAAAAAGAATGATAATGAAAAGTGTGTTGTTTCAACCAAGGAACACTTTTGTCTTAATACTGAAGTGCTATTTTTCTAGTAATTTAACAAGAAAAAAGCGTAATATTTCTTGTGTGAAAAATGGATGTGAACGGTACAGGAAATAGTTCTTTATGCAAAGCCTATAGCCAACATTATTTGTTTTAAGATCTATTCATATATAGAGACAGTTTTATCAAAAACAATAACTATTATTACAATATGGCTTTGTTAATCTGAATTAACTACAATAAAAATACTTAAAGACATTGAATATTTATTAGTATTACATGTATTATTATTTAAAATAACATCATGATATTGTAATTATAAACATTTTTGTTCAAATGACATTTAAAAGATCCTAAAAAGTCTATTGTCAATACCTTTAAAATCAATATTAAAATATCAATTAGAATTATTCTGTTGTAATTTTATAAGATATTCATATAAAATTATAGTATCATTTTTAATCTAAGCATCAGTTTTCAATTTATGTATTATATTATAAAGATCTTAATAATAAATTTCTTGATCTGAAAATTTTTTCTTAAAATTCATTTTAAAATTGTAACATCTAATTAACAATTTTAAACTAAAAAACAAATCTTTTCTTTTATATCAACAGGTATTTTATATAAAGATGAAACAAATTGATAAAGTAATTTTTGATTATTTAACATATAATTATATTTTTCAACAAATTTATTAATAAAAACCAAATTTGTCATAAAATGTCTTTCATGACAAATTACTTTTAATCTCATAGTAACAGGTCAGTCTTTTTCTTTAAAAAGAACAGTATGTTAATAATATTTAAATTTATTCAGAATACCCTATTTTATTTTACTTTTATGAATATATTGTATTACTTTAACATTATCATTATTACAATAAATATGATTGCGCCTTTATAAAGAAAAAAAAATAAAAAAATAAAAACCAAATTTGAACATTTTTTATATAAAGCATTTAACAAAAAATATATTCTATATAAGTTAATTTTTACTTTTAATTTTCTGTAAAATTAAGCTTTTTTTTAGATTCATATTTACCTTTATAATGATATTTGTAAGTTTTTTGAGCATATATATTATTTTCTTTTTTAACATAAATAATTTTTATTTCAAATCCCATTTTAATTACATATTATTTTAAACATTACTCAAAAACAAATAAAGTAAAAGTTTGCCTACTATACAATTTTTTTAAAGAATTATCTTCAATTTTATCTTCATTTTCAACATCAGTAATGTTTTAGGAGTATAAAATCTTTATTTTCTGTAAATAGTAAGGATTTACATGAATCCTTTTCACCACCATTCTTTTCATTGAGATCTGTATTTGATTTATTTCTTTTCTCCATTATTTAATTCCAATTGGTTTAATTAAATTATTATTTTTAATTAAATTATTTTATTATTGTTCACTATATATGTATATTACAATTTCATCATATTTGACTAAATGTAATTTTTTTTTAATGATAAATCATTTAAGGAGTCTATCTTATTATTAGATCACAACTTCATTATATCGTGAATATTTCTTTTCTCCATTATTTAGTATTTTAGTTTCCAATTGGTTTAATAAGAATATGTTAATTTTACTATATTTAACTAATGATAAATTATTCAAGGAGTTTATCTTATTATTAGTCAAAGCATATTTACTATAAAATATCATATGCTCATGCATAATCGCGTCTCTTTAAACTTTATCATGATGTAATACACAAGCTTATCATATATGAATAATAATAGCTCTACTGTTTTTTTTTTCATTTGCAAACAAACTTCTTTTTTTCAATTCTTTGGTAATTAATATAATGAAATAAGTCTTCTTTATTATAATTCACAAAAAATACAAATTATTTATTTCTTAAAAAAATTATAATATTATGGATTTCTTTTGAAATTCACATATAAAAGAATGGACCTATAGTAACATATTAGAATATTATAATAATATTGTCAAAGATGATGATGAAAAAGCTTAAAAGATTATATGGAAAGACTTAAAAAACTTCAAAAATAATTCTCTTGATCACTCCAAAATAAAAAAAGTGAATAATATATTAAATAATTGGCAGGTGGGTAAACTATTTTTTAATTGTAAAAATATTAAACAGTGTGCAAATTTTCTTGATTATATTTTGGTTAATCCTTTTATTTTTTTTAGGCATAAAAAAGAAACCTTAAAAGAAATAAACAGATAATACAGTTAATTTCTAATGATGAAAGTATGGCTAGTACAAGTTTTGATCAAGTTAATTTTCTTTTAGAACTAAGGTTACTTGCCGAAATCAAGTAGTTTAGTAGGCCAAGACCGAAACTTTTTTAAAACCGAAAGTTTAGGCAATTAAAAGTAAATTTGCCGAAATTATACAATGCCGAAACTTTTACCGAAAGGCCGAAATTTGGCCAAAATTATTGGCCAACATTAATACTATAATTCTGGCCGGAATAATGATCGACATGTAAATTTCCTTTTATGGAAATTTGTGTAACATTTGTGCGATACATTTCTCCGATTTTACTGGGAAACAAAATTTCCTTTTTGGAAATTTGTGTAACGTCACGTGATACAATATCATAATTTCGGCCGAATTTTAATTTTGGCCAAAATTAAGACCGAGTTTTGGCCTAATTTCGGCATTTTCAGCATTTGATTTTATTGGCCGAAACCTTTCGGAATTTCCTTTTTAGTTTCAGCAGGCAACCTTATTTAGAACATGGACAAAAATGGAAGGTTTTTTTACTTAAACAATTGTTAGTTCAAAATTCAATACATATACGAAATCAAATAAATTCTTCACCAGATTGTAATGCAAATGGTACTAATACTATTAACTATAGTAAATATACAGTCAACTACTTAACTTCCTTTATAGTTACTCCCGTTATAAACACATTTTACTATATTATCAGAAAGTTACGGAAAAAATGTTCATCAAATGTACATCGGTCACTTAATGTACATCATAAAGAAACGCTGAATATTAGACCCTGCAATGTACTACTGATGTCACAATATTTGATGTTCATCGCCAAATCAAAGATATTCATTACCTGTATATTATAATGTATTGATATACATGTTAAAATATATATTAATAAACACATTTATTAATGATATTAAAATACATTATTATACTATCATTATACTATACAAATGTATTACAGTCAACTCTCTTTATAGTCACACATTTGGGACAGTTCATATTTGGTGATTATAAAGAGATGTGACTATATAAAAAATTTCTTATATTAGTATATCATAATTCTGGCCAAAAATTAATATAATTTTGGCCAAAATTATACTTAAAATTTATTGTATACAGTCAGACCTAAGGTTGCCTCTTCAAAATCCTACGATTAGTTTCGTCAAAATTTTACTATAGATTTATTATAGTTTCAGCAGAGTTTCAGCAGTTTCAGCATTTATAATAAGTTTCAGCAGTTTCGCCATTCTCCAAAGTTTCGCCAGTTTTTTAATATAATTTTAATATAGTTTTAGCAGAATTTCGCTTTTCGGCGAAACGCCATCTTGCCTAAACCCCTAGGTTTCGGCAAGCAACCTTAGTCAGACCTCTATGTACCGATATCCTATGTACCGATAATTGCCTGTACCGATAAATTTTCTATTTCCCGTTTCACAATTAATAAAAAATTCTCGTTGTACCGATATTATATATGGTTTCACGATGTAACATGTACCGATACTTTTCTTTGCCCCTTTATAATTAATACATAGTAAGATGTACAGATACTTTAGGTTATACTAGTATTAATTCAGGTCAACACTATGAATTTGGCCAGAGTTAACATAAAGGTTCCATCCAAATCACATGACATTTTAATATATTAGCTATCCAGAGTTTACATAATGCTGGCAAGAATTGGATTTTGGTCCGCATTATGATTCGCTGATGACGGTTATGTAACAATAATTTGATATACCGATATATTTTCCCCAAAACAACAGTATCAGTACATAGAGGTCCGACTGTAGTAACTTCTTCAGTATTAATCGTAGAGAGATGATCTTACCACCATTCGATTCGTCTTAATGAGATGGTTCTAATAGTATAAAATACATCAAAATCCAATCATTAGATTAATTTCTGAAATTAAAAAAATACTATTAATAGTTTTTGTGTAATAACTCTACCAATATTGATCCTAGAGAGATGATCTTACTACCATTTTCGATTCGTTTTGATGCAACGAATTTAATGGTATAAAATACATCGAAATCCAATCACTAGATCAATTTCCAAAATTAAAAAATATTATTAAATAGTTTTTAAGTAGTAACTCCACCAATATTGATCAGTGATCACAGAAAGATAAGCTTACTACCATTCGATTCGTCTTGATGAGGCAATTCCAATGAGCTATTAATCGTCTTTTTACAATACTAGGTACTGAGATATTTAGCAAAATGTTAAATGGCGCAGTAAATGTAAATCAAGAAATATAATAATGTCGATGCTTAACATTTTGTTTAATAACTCGTCAGCCAGTGATCGGAAAAGGATAAAACTACACCATTCGATTCGTCTCAGTGAGACGATTCTAACAAGCTATGATACATCTTTGTACGATTATTAGATGTCAAGTTATTTAATATATTCTTTATATAACTGTGATTATAAACGGTTCTTTTTAATATAAGATTTTTGAGGATAGGTGTGATAGTGACTATAGATAGATTGTGACTATATAGGATAGATTTTAATAATAAAGTGTTTTGAATATTCAACTGGTGTGACTATATAGTAGAATGTGACTATAACGGGAGTGACTATAGAGGGAGTTGACTGTACTTCTCTTTCTCTTTCCTTTTTAGCTAAACAAGCGCACTCTATGGTTAAAGACATGGCTGCTCTTTTTGGTTCCAAGAAATTATTAGCGCAACATGTAGCCTATCTTTATAATACTGTTCTTCTTCCAAGATTGGAATTCTGTCAACAAACTACTCTTTTTTCAGAAAGTACTATCCAATCGATAGTTAAACCTATGTTCTCGGTTTTTAGGAAAAAAGCTGGCCTTATTGCTACTATCCCATTGGCTTTGCTTTTCTTAAAACTCCTTTTCACAATCCAAAATGCTTTTTACCGATTTCTCTCCTCTCATATGGCCTCTTGGCAAAAAATATTTACTCATCCTGATTTTAAAAAATTTGCCAATTTTGCTATTTCATACCTTCAAGGCTATTTGGGTGCAGAAAGTTATCCTACCACCATCAACCTAGAACTATGATCACAAATTGTTTCTCTCTGAACGCACACCTTGTTTAATTCTCTTTTGTTCTCTTCATGAATTAATATCACATGGTCTCTTCCCTTCCGACCTCTGAGACGTGATTTACAACCTGCTATGCCACTCTGAACTATCCTACCACAATCTATTTTTCAAACAAGTTGGAAACTTTGGAAAAATTTGAATATTTTTGTTCTCGTCCAGTTAGCTTCTCCTTGTGGACGTCATCTCATAAGTTGGTCTGATCTTTGTTACCTTGGTATTGTTGGCCGCAAAGAACGGATTCCTACTTAGTTTAATTTTATTAAAAACAATTTTCTTTCTTCTTCTTTTTCTTCTTTGTTTTTGTCTTTATATTTTATTAACTTTTCTTTTATGTTAGCTTCACTTTGTTTGTTAAATGATACTGTTAAAGATTATCATTTTTATTCTTAATGGGCTATTAACTTTAATATTGCTACTCAAACTTTATCTGTTGGCCATGTATGTGTCACTTACAAAAAACAAGACTTTGCCATTATGTCACATTGGCTTCCTATATCTACTTTGGCTGATGAACGCTCTTACAACCCTTGTCCTGGTTGTTCTTACAATGTATTTGCTTTATCCAAAAAATCCGCCATTAAACAGCACTATAATAGCGAAAAATGCTTCTTTAATGTCAAATTATCTGAGACTACCAGATATCCTTCAAAGAATGCCAAAATATTTGCGGCCTATCTTCCTATAACTTTGTCTACTTCTTGGAGTTATGCTACTTCTTTGGCTTTTGCTCACTTGAAAAAATTACCGATTGCTTCCTCTACCATATCTCCTTCACCTTTCATTATGGATGATGATGATTTTGTATCAACTTTACCTTTCTTTGTGCAGACTGTGTATACAGATGGCTCTTTTTATCATGCTAAGGATTCTTCCCCACCTTCTATGTCCTCTGCTTGGTTAGAACTTGATGATGATGGATTTATATTAGACTTTTTATCTCTGAGTATTCCTTCATATTTTCCTTCAGCTTTACATTCTGAAATTTTTGCCGTTATATTAGGATTATATGCACTTTCTCCTAGTTCTTCAATCACAGTTCACACTGATTGTAGTC